CAAGGGAAATAAAGGAAGCTCTTCAACAAGTATTGTTGGTTGACCAAATTGTGTTTTGGATTAATCAATTAATGGCCTTTAGTTTGGTTTTATTGCAAGTTGTAATAATAGTCCAATTGGAAATTTAGTTATCAGTCTTTGGGAGACCAAAAGAGTGTATAACTGATTGACTTTTGGATGACACAATTTCAGTTACAATCAATCATTAAGTAGTTTTCAATTCCTAGGTTAATAAATCATTATTAGCATTTATTTTCCTTTAATTAATATTTGTAACTCTGATCGCAAAGCTTCTTTATAAGCTAAACCATTTTTTATCAGAAATAACAATTTGAGTTTTATTTTTAGAAATATTAGAGTTTATCTTTTTTATCTTAGTGAGAGTGATTATCCTAAGTTCTTAAGTGATTCAACAATATTTGGTTGTATCAAAGGACTTTCACATCCTTTGTAAGTTGTCTTCCTTGGAAAGAGTAATTCTTTCCTTTTACCTTATCACTAAATTCCTAAATTTCTTACAAGGTTCTAACCCTAAAGATCCTAAATAACCCCTTGTGATTCATATCAATAATAAAAATAAAAATTAAAAAAGTTCATGAGAACTCCGTGAAATCATTTCTTGTTTTTTTCAAAGACTCATGTGATACGGGTCTCATATGTATAATTACTTTTATTTTATTTTTCAAAGACCCATGTGAAGTGAGTCCCATATGTTTAATTTTATATTCAAACTTTACATTTTCTTTTTCTATATAAAGGCTTCGTGAGTCCCTTATGCTGGGCAGAAGTCGAAAGTCCTCCTGGCAAGGTCATTCCCATAGCCTCCCTCTCCTCTCTCTCCCTTCCAATTCTCTGCTCCTTCTCTCTACCCCTCTCTCTCTCACTCTCATGTAAATTTATCCCCATCAATAAGGGAAGCAATTTGAGTTTCCCCTTCTCCTTCTCCTTTCCCCTTCTTCAAGTAAGTTTTCTTTACTCCCCCTTTATGGAGTAGTTTTCTTATAAGGGCGTTCTCGGATGCCTTAAGTAATATTTATTAAAAGATGCGATAATCATTTAAAGGCTTAAAAACTTTTGTATAATTTTTATGTTCATATAAGCTTATGAGGAGATGTCTAATCGGCTTTGCCAGATTCAGTCTTCCCATAATCATATCATGGACTTGTGTGTTTATTTTTCTGTCTTTACTTTTCTACCTTTTTTTTATGTTCATATAAGCTTATAAGGAGATGTTTAACCGATTCTGCCAGATTCTGTCATCTCATAATTTTATCTTGAACACTTTCTTACTATAACCCGACTTTATCTCGAACAGTCATCATTTAAGCTAGTCTGGTTTTCAGGTTCTTTGTAAGCTAAGTAGCTACGTTGACCTACAGAAGAGATAAAGAGTTATAACATATTTTTATTTATTTCTTTTTTCGTCATGTCCTTCTTCCCCTTCCCCCCCCCCCATTTTCATGTGGTTTCAAAGCAGTTTTTCCCATATTGGATTTTTCTGTCTCTGTCTCTTCACTCTAGCCTTTATATAGAAAAATAAAAGTAAAGTTTGAATATAAAATTAAACATATGGGACCCACTTCACATGGGTCTTTGAAAAATAAAAGAAAAGTAATTATACATATGAGACCCGTATCACATGGGTCATAAGAAAAGTAATTATACATATGGGACCCGTATCACATGGGTCTTTGAAAAAAAAAATAAGAAATGATTTCACGAGAGTTCTCGTGAACTTTTTAAATTTTTTTTATTATATCAAAAGATTGGTTCAATATTTCCGTCATTAACATGTAAGGCTTAAAGGACCTAACAACGTGTAATGGTAGATGAACCATGACAAGGTAGCAAGATATCATTATCTGTCATTAACCTTTAATAAAAAAATTTAAAATTATATTTATCTACCATATTTTTTTATATTTTTATGACCTCGAATGTAATAAATATGAATAATATTCTTTCTTGATCGAAGGTAGAGTCTCCTTTCTTAATCAAACTTTATAATATCCAACTTGATGGAAATAGTGAAAATATATATTAGAGGAAACCTCATATATCATTCTCAATACAAAATGATATAATTTTAATTTGTTCATAGTTGAATGTGTCGAAGGATCTAATTGTTGAAGTTAATCAGTCATTAACCAAATATTAGAAGCAGATCAAAGAAACATTCAATAATGACGACGAATATAACGCTTTCACAAAGAGGTTAGTGAGTCAATTAAAATCTTGATGGAGTAAACTTCATCTAGCAATTCAAAAATTTAATACATACTACAAACAAGTCATCAAGCAAAGAAAAGTAGTTGGACCGAGAAAGATGTTATGTCATTTACACATAAGATTTTCACAAAATATTTGAAAGGGAAAAAAATTGAATATGACAAACAAAGAATAAAGGTAGTTCGTTTAAATTGTGAAAAAGGTCATCATCGATTGTTCAATGACTCTTTTGCTTAAAATCTTGTATATATGAAATTTCAATTTTGAAGAAGGTTTCGTATGTACATAGATGTTTTTGTAACAATTGTGAAGCCCTTGGCTATGATGATGACTACTTTACAATGAGGTTAGATGCAACACGAAGAAGAGGTTTATTACCTTTGCAAAAGTGCATTATTGTTGTTCGCATATTAGCTTATAACTCACTTGTTGATAGTTTAGACAAATATATTCAAACTCGTAAAAGTATTGCAATTGAATGCTTATAACGATTTGTATCAAGTGTTTGTGCATTATTTGAAAATGAATATTTAAGGTAGTGACAAACAAAGAATAAAGGTAGTTCGTTTAAATTGTGAAAAAGGTCATCATCAATTATTCAATGACTATTTTGCTTAAAATCTTGTATACATGAAATTTGAAGAAAGTTTTGTATGTAAATAGATGTTTTTGTGACAATTGTGAAGCCCTTGGCTATGACGATGACTACTTTACAATGAGGTTAGATGCAACATGAAGAAGAGGTTTATTACCTTTGCAAAAGTGCATTAATATTGTTGTTTGCATATTAGCTTATGACTCACTTATTGATAGTTTAGATAAATATATTCAAACTCGTAAAAGTAGTACAATGGAATGCTTATAACGATTTGTATCGAGTGTTTGTGCATTATTTGAAAATGAATATTTAAGGAGGTTAACAATGAAGACATTGACCAATTACAACAAATGGAAGTGACATGTGACTTCCCAAATAAGATAGAATCAATTGGTTGCATGCATGAAAAAATGGTCCAGTTACATGAAAATGTCAATTTTGTTAAGGTACATGTTAACCTGACAATCATTCTCAAAGTTGTGACATCGCAAGATTTATGGAATTAACATGCATCTTTTGGTATTGTAGGGTCAAATAATTATATTACTTTGTTAAATGTATCTAATGTGTTTAATGAAGTTATGTTAGATTTTACATCTGCAATGTACTTCACTGTAAATGAAATGAAATATGATATGAGATATTACTTGGTAAATTGTCTTTATCCATATTTTGCCACATTTGTAAAAATTATTTCAATATCATATGGAGAAAAGAGAAAATTATTTGTTCAACTACAAGAGTTAGTCAAAAAGAATGTTGAACGTGCATTTAGAGTCCTCCAATTTTAATTTGCAATTATATATGGTCTGACATATTTTTGGGATAATTATACATTAATGCATGTATCATATAACACAGTATGATTATTGATGACAAACAATATATATATCAAAATTATGTTGATCGTGATATTAAATAAAAATGACATATCGAATATTGATATATCTTCGATCCAAGTTTTAGATGACAAAAATTTAGAAGAGAGAATGATGAAAATTATTTTTATGTAGTATATTTTCTAATGTTATTTGATTTTCATATTTATTTAAATATTATATATTTGATGTTATTTTTAAATTAAAATATGGTGTGTTGTTGACTAAAGCAATTAATTTTAATTATTATTAATAAAATTTAATATTTAACGAGTATATTAATTTAATTTGTATACAAAATATTAATTAATTAAATTTTTTAATAAATATTATAACATATAAATCTAAATAAAAAATATATAAAATAATAAATTATTTAGAATTTTTTAAATTCTTCGTATTAAAATCAAATTATATGAAAGTTACTTACGCGGTATTGTGGAACTCACATTTCACAATTTTTAAAGAAGAGACAATTTTATTGAAGATGCTTCAAGGGAGTGTGACCCTGGTCAAGAAAAACATGAAAATGGATCTTCCTTCTATGAGAATGAAAGGAAGGAAGGAGTATGCTTTCCTCCTTGGTTATTTTTTTTATTATTATATTTTTTAATTCTTTTAGTTTGGACTTTTCTAAAAATATTATTATTTTATTTTATTTTAAAAAATGAGGTGTTATATTAAGTTTTTTAGAATTCTTTCTACATAGTGCCTTAGGGTGTGTAAAAAATGATAGTGCAATGGGAAGTACATGCTGATTGATTACCAAATACCAAGAAGCACAATTGTCAAACGCCATACGAGAAGGGATACCCAAAAACCATATGCCAATGATACATCCCAAATCAGCCCTGGCCTGGCCAAAGACAGCAGTCAGTATTTAATTGCTGGCAGAAAATCACATTGCTCTTCGTTCTCATTTGCTGAATTGAAAAAAATATATATTTAGTATGCGTGCACCTCTGTATACATGTAATTTAATTGCAACTCAATCTCACCATTTTTCAGCGAGCTCTATCCTTTTCTAAACTGACATAAGTGGACTAGTAAACATATATACTCTTCTCAAGTTGCGAGATATATGTTCAGGACTTTCGACTAAGATCAAAATGTTGAAACAAGTAGTTCATCACTTGTTTTAATTAATGCTTTTATTTCTTGATGCAATCATTCAACTGTTGTTTAAATAGTTACAAGTTGCACAAATTGAGAATTGACAACCTTTCTTATACAAACAGTATTTGTATTAATCATTTGAGGTCTATGTAAATGAATTGCAATTGTTACCAAAGGGACTATTGTTTATACATGAAAAGGTTGGTTTTATAGAAATCCAGAATAATCCCATGAATTGAACCGACTACAGCAGCCAGTGAAATAACGAAGCCCAGGCAACTTAAAAATTGGAGGCAGCACCACCTGAGTGATAGTTTTCTAATCTGTTTCTGCGCAATGTGCATTTGTATGGGGAAAAAGACAACTAGGGGCCCGAACCCAATTGCTCCAAGAAGGGAAAGAACCTCACTGAAAAATGGCATTATCATGGCAAGGATTGTGGCCAATATCACAAAAATGGTCCTCCAAACTAGCCTAAACAAGTTGAAACGAACCATTACACTGCCTATCATGAATGGATATTCCTTGTTTATGAAATCTGAATGCGGCCACACCATGTTGGCACCCATTTCAACAATACGAAAGAATGGTTGACCCATCACCTGTAACCAAATGTTGAATATGGACACATTATTGTACATAAATATTCATCCATACTAACTTCACTTGTACAAAAGACATTTTTTTCCCCTTAGAAATTAGTAATTCTAACTTTACTCAACTATTAAAAAAATCATTTGATCCATCATTTTATATTTAATTGCATTTTTCTTTCTTTCATTACCATTTTACCAATTTGGTTCTCATGCAAATTTTTAGATTTGATCTTCTTTATTACATTAATGGTGCATTTTTTTATTCATTCCTTAATATCTAATAATTAACAAGAGTGACAATTAAATGTCTTGTCAATATAAATGCGTTGATGTGAGAATTCAACATATAAATTACGTCAATATTTTCATTAAATATTGCATGCCAAGGTAAATTTAATTAATTAAAACTGTATAATTAAAGTAATAAAAATCAAATTAGAAGAAAAATAGGACTCAATTCATGAAATGATAGTATTAAGAGGATTAAAATATATTTCAATATAATTACGAATTAAGTTAAAAAATGAGTATCTGAATTTTGAAAGCCGAAAAAGAAATTAATGAAGTTTAGGAAAAATAGTGATCTAACCTGATATGCTCCAATCATGTGGATTATGATGCATCCGTTCCCCAGTGCGACCAACCAGAAGGGTTCGGTAAATCCGGTCAAGATGTTCCCAGGTGTGTTGTCACCAAAAGCAGCATAGCCAAGGCCACTGCATAGCAAGAACAATATTGTCATTGCTGTCACCCCTAGCACGTTCGCCCTTCTCATTTGTTTATTTTCTGCTGGATGTGACTTTAATGTGTCCTAAGCAAAAACATCGTCCAATAGTTGGATTCAGTACTATAATTCATAATTCCAACTTGCTATAGCTACAGTACTTGCATATCTATATGCTTTTATTAATTTATTCAAAGAGGAATGTAAGCCCTACTTCATCTTATTTTAACACTCTTTCTGTGCTTGTAATGAGTTGAATTTGATTAAAAACCACAAATTTTGATGGAGTCCATTACTCATTTAATGACTTTATCATGATGATTTTCAATGAATTTCTATCAATTATAAAAAAAGAAAAAAAAAAAAAAAGGTGTTAAATGAGTACCATTATATCATAAATAACAGTAGCGTAAGTGCATGCAAGAGCTATGTTTCCCATTGCTGTGAAAACCTTCAAAAGTTTATCTTCTAAAGGTAGTTTGGTTCCTGTTATGCTGGTTGCAGCTCCTTTTCCTGTACACATTCAAAATGGAATTGTAATTACATCTTCTTTCTTTTTTTCAAAACCAAACGAAAAACTAAAGGAACTAATTTATGATTCAAGGATTAAAGTAATATTTGGACGAGTTTTTCGTAAGTATTTCAAAAAAAAGAAAAAATAAAATTAATTTCTCAATAATTAAAATTGTACATAAATTAATTCGAAGAAGTTCTCTCACAAACAATTTTACTAAATTTTTTATTTTTAATTTATAAATAAACTATTTTAAAATTATTGAAAATTTTCATTTTATTATATTTTTTAAATCTGTGAAAAGACTTGTCTAAATATATCTTTAAGTATATATTAATAAACTCTACAACATTTGCTATCCATTCTCTTTTACGTATTCTCTTTCTAACGTTATTACTAATTATCGGAAATAGAAAATTATAAATTATGATCTGTTTGATTTATTTTTGTTTTTTAATTTTTAAAATGCTTTTAGAAATATTTTGAAAATTTATCTTTAAAAATAATTGAACTTTTTGTTAATAATTATCTTTTTATAAACAATTTTAACATAAATAATCATAAAAAAAATAACAAAAGTTTAAAAATAATTTTAATAATATTAATGATAAAATTAGTAATTTAATATAATATTTAGTAAAAACGTTAATATTCATTATTAAAAAAAATAAATAAATCAGTTTTGATTTTTTTAGTTTTTTTAAAAACTACTTTTAATAAAATAATTATTAAAGAGATTTTTAGATTATAAAAATTACAAACTTGAGAACTGAATAAATCCTGGTCCCTAAGCTCTGCGCAAATATAGCCTACCATGAGAAATTTTATTTTAAGTAAACTTTACATCAACGTGATTCAACTACGTTAATACCATTAACTTAATATAAACAGTACACACAACAATAATCTCATAAAATAAAAAGAAACAAATACAAAACATAGGAAAGAATGGAACGACAAGAACAAATCCAAAAAAATCACAATTATTTAATCCTACAGCAAGAAACCCATTATTTTATCGTGACATTTTATTTGCAAATCAGTATGATGTGTCATCTTGTATTTACAGTTCACGTGTTCTCTTCCTTCAAAACTTATGTGTCATACAGATAGCCCACATTTAATGTCATCAAATGCAATTGATTGCGCGCATTTAATATTATTTTAAAAGTCTAAATTTATAATTATTACATTTTCTATAACTACTTTTGCCTATAAATTTTACCAAAAATCACTAATTTTTTTACATTTAGGAAAATATGTTAATAATCATACACATGTTCAACATAATGTTTTAAAAACTATTTTTAGATATTTTATTTTCAGAAAAAAATTCTCTCCTATATTTTTATTTTTATACTAAGGAAAGAGAGAGTTACACCTTATAAGAATGTGAAAAAAGTAATTTTTCTATTTTACGATAAATTTTGTTTTAATCACTTTACAAAATTTAAACACTTATAAAATGAAATAATTAAATAAATATATTTATATATTTTTAATTATATTTAAAAGCATCTTTCTAATTATAATATTATTAAAAATGTGATGAAAGTTTAAACATACCAATGAAAAAAAAAAATACAAGCCACATATCCACCACGTATTCTGACGAGTGATGATAGATTGATAATAGAGTTGGTTGAGAACCCAAAATAATAACATAATGTATTATAATATTATTATCAGGGTTACCGGTTTTCAAACTATTATCAGGTTTCTGTATGTACACGTTCTCTTTTCAACCACCACAATATAGCCAAGATCCCGTGCCTAGTTGAAATTATCACATATTTCTAAGAGTTTTAGTTTATTTTAAAATGTTTGTTATTTAAAATATCGAAAATAGTCATCATTATCTCATTCGAATACTTAATTAATTCATAAATAATCTTTTATTATTTTTAATAATAATATTTTAGAAAAATATTATTAATATTCTTAAAGATTGATACACTATATTGAACTATTAATAATTAAAACGAAGGACACACGTACAGAAAATGGAAAACTAAAACAGATAGCTCTGTAAGTAAACTTTGGTGATTAATATTCATTTATTTTGATAAAATTAATGGTGAAAACTGAAGATCAATTACCTGAGAGGATGACCGAGAGACATAACCCACTACCAATGAATACGTAACCAAAAGAGGTGATGGCAGCAGCAGTTGAGAGCCATGTAAGCTCGTGAAAGTTTGGTATCTGAGACAAGAAAATTTGCAAAATCCCAAAACCGATCATGAAGGGATTATTCGAAAACTTGCATGAAGCTGCATTTCCTTTGTTGTGGAAACAAATTGCTTTCCTTATTGCCCTGCCATATCACACCTCACCATCATAAACCATAGAACCAAAAAGGTTAAATGATCTGTAATTAAGAGTTTAAAATTTTATAGTTTATAATTGTACTTAGATCGATTGTACTTATAGTATCTGGCGGAATTAAGATCTGCATTAAAAGTAACTCTGATAAACATATCCAAATACTCTTAATTCTCTTGAAAGAGATGAAAAGAAATTAATAAAATTCTAACGATCAAATGATAAACTTTTAAAATATAAAAGTTTACGAATAATAGCAGACCTAAATGTTGAGTACGGAGGAAGTTAGACTTGATCATCTCATTTGCATTTTGTAATAAACAAATTCTTAAATAAGCTTTAATTATATTGCGTACACCAAGCTTGTGGAGGAAGTTATTGTGTAGCCCACTGTGATCCCAGCCAGCTTGGTATATTGAACCAATCCACAAGCCACATGCATTGTTCCACCTATTACCATAGCAAGAAGAAATTAATCAATGGAAATAGGGTAGGAACAAATGAATCATAATATCTACTAACTTTACTCATAATTAATCCTTATTGAGAAACCTAACTAGTTATTTTTAGTGAAATTTCTCTTCTTTAACTATATTTTTTCTGTTTAAAAAATCTAACTCAAGAACATACCTTAGTTCAGAATTCCAAACCCAATTTCACTCGGGCCTCAGGTGGCTGACATCAAAATTTATAACTTTGCTGACTTGATTCCAGTTAATACTTCAGATAATAAAGTTATAATTATTGATTAAGAAAAATAAATTTTAACAATTCAATAACTTTTTATATATGGATGCATGTATTTTCACCATAACTTCATTTTTTAATCACCAGGTGTATGTAATTCACATTTTACTCTCTAAAGGGCATCTATTTAGATTCATAACTTAACAGAGTTGCGATGTATCTCAGATGTTTTCCATTTTTAGGGTATATAAATTACTTGTCAACTGTTTCATTGATATTTAATCCTCATAATAAACATGTATCTGGGAAAAAAAATCAGGTACTGGAATAATTAAATTATGGAAGTGTAGAATACCTAAGTAAGCCTTGACAGCTTGCATATAAGTATAATTTCTATTGCCAGTGACAGGGTCTGGATACCTGTAACAATCGGCTACAAGACTGTAAGTGAAAATGGAGATAGATGAAAAGGTGATGATACTTCCTATCCCAGCTATCCATCCTAGCTGTGCCATGGCCCATGCCAGAGCCAGCACCCCTGCCCCTACCACCACAGTTATGATGTGTGTGCTTGCCGTCAACACATTCCCTGCAAACAGAACACAACCAACACAAATAAATATATTGACATCTGCTTTCAAATATTGGACAACTTTGTTTATTATATTATATTGATGAAGTGATTCAAAATTAATTAAAAAATATTATTTTATTGATAAATCAAGTTGTCGGTTGGTAGTTGGGATAAAAGGGTCGTCTATCAATCTTTTTCCTTCTAAAGCTTCATTCTGGATTTTATTGTTTTATTGCTTAGGTACGGAGTGTCTGATCACTTGCCAAGGTATACAAATGCACAAAATGAATCTCAACCCTCTGAAATAAGTAACTCAATTAAGAAGACAAAGGAAGCAATTTCAATTCTTAATGATATTACGTCTACATTTTAACAAATCATAATACCAGCTATTGATTTTCTTATCAAAGATTAGTTATTTTATTGAAAATCTCACATATAGTATAACAGAATATCAGGCTCAGATGGAAACCTCAATTTTACAAATTTTGTTAGGTTGAATTAGGCCTAAACAAATATTACAGTATATTTTCCATCAAAACTGAGTTGAGCGAGTTAACTCAATTTTGCTTTAATCTTTGTATAATAAATATTCTCTCCCAGAGCGTCAACCAGTTGTTAAATTTATTCTCACTAAAATATCAACTTATGAAACACTTCACTCTTCAAGAAACTTATCAAGACACACTACAAGAATCAGTTTCTCGGAGGTTACAGGGACTTAAAGCCACTGATTTAGATACATAACCTAAAGATAATAGTGTCAGAAATGAAATCAATACAGATTATCATTCCGAGGGATGAAATTGCATAATATTAATTCAAAAGAATTGAAGATTCGAGTTAGTTAATAAAGAAAACGAACCAGTTCTTCTGATTCTGCCATCGTCGTCAAGCTCCAGTTCGATGAGAGGTTTTGTGGTGTCCATTGAGATCCCCTTTTCGTTCCGTCAGGTATCAAAACGATGCACCATTTGACTTCACCGGTTCTACAATAATCTGATAAGAACGTGATATTTTCTGTCTACATTCAGACAAATAATATGATAAAAAGAGAACGGATAAACAATAGATCTAATCAAAGCAAATGCAAAAAAAAAATTTAACAGAACCCAAAGAAACATATTTATTCATTACTGTAATGAATTTTCTCTTTTATATTTTTTAACAACTTAATTAATCAATAATATTTTGTATAACTTTTACTATAATTATTGTAATAATTAATAAATAATAAATTTATAACTAAACGAAAATGTATTTGTATATTTGCATCTGACATTTATTTAAAATACAATAGTCGCTCAATAATTGTGAAAATGTAACACTAGTTAAAGATACTATAAATTTCATAACTCAATAAAATAAAAATATTTTCTCATAAATTAAAATCAACTTATGTCTAAATTTTTTTCTAAATTAATCTATATATAATTTTAATTTATCTTATAATTTTTACAGAGTAATTTATCTAAATATATTTTGAAATATTCAAATTTTATTATTATTATTATTATTACAGAATTTTTTTTATATAAACCACCTACGTGACATATGGACCATGATAATTTACGAGCTGTTAAACTATTATTTCTTTTTTTATGTAAAAATGTATAAATTACAATTGTTGTGCGTGTCTTTCTATTTAAAAAAAATTATTATTTGAATAAAAATTGAAATGTGTTCTTATTATTGTGTTGGGTGTTGTGGGTCCTGAATCGTGATTAATGGGGACCCACTTGTTGGTGGCGATATGTACGTTGGTTTAAATTCTAGGTAGGTATGTTTTGATATGGAAAAATTTTAATATTAAATATTTTCTAATGTTATATATTTTTTTTCATAAATTCAAATTTTATTAATAATTTATTTTGTTGTTGAGTTAAATGTAATACCGAGTTAAACATAGAATAGAATTAAATATAACATCGAGTTAAATATAACGGAGAATTAAATTTATCATCAAATTAAATATAATATAGAATTAAGAATAATATAAAATTAAATATATCGCGGAACTAAATATAAAAACAGTCAAATATATAATAATCATTTTGACAATTTGTATTATCATATAAAATTTAAATTTAAGGTATTCTATATTTATTATTTTATGGATCTAGATAAATTTGGACTCAAGATCATCTTCTTTGAGATTTAAAATCAATATGAGTGAAGGTGATAGGAGACAATATTTTTTGTTTGAGTGACTTGAACCTTGAATAAATTGTTTAAAGAGTTAGCTCCAATAAAATCATCTATGATGTTTCAGAGTTTTATATAATTATAAGTAGAGTGACCATAGTTTTGATGTCATATACATTATTTTGACCCCGATATGCTTTCGAGGGTGTGGCTACTAGCTCTAGTAACCTAATAAGTTTCAGGTTGTATCTTTCTTCTAGGATGGTTTCAACACTAGAGTTCAAGGGTGTGAAATTTTCTTTCTTCACGCTTGTTACACCTTGTATAAATCTTTTGTTTGGCTGCCTTAGGATATGATGAGAATCATATTTCTTCTCACTTACTCCTAACTAAGGGTGATAATTGATACTAGGATTAGGATTGACATTTTAAGGAAGTATAATGTCTCAAGGGTGGCAATTAATACCATCATTGAGATTAGTATCTCAATGGAATATGATACCTTTGAAAAGATCTTTTCAGAGTACATAATTATATTTTTACTTCTACATTTTGTCTTTCTAAGACATCAATCTCTTCCTTATGCTTTCACTTGATTCTTTTGAGTTTTACATGAACATTTGTCTCGTTTTTTCTTTACATTTTATCCATACGAGATTTTAAGTTATTGATAATGTTTTCAGCAGTCATATTGTTGTTTAGGCAAAATAATCACTAATTGATGGAATGTGGCTTGTGATATGTTTCATCGGACTCCACGGTGGATGTCAAATATTTTTACCCAAACAATTACAATAATCAATGAGCTTAGAAAGATGGATCAATAAATTTAAATGGATCAATTTTGATTATTGCCACTTTAGAAGCTATTAGGTTCAGCTTTGTTTGAATAATAAAAAGGAAAGAAATTTTAGTTAAAGATACTTTATAAGTAGTAAAGGATGATAGAGATAATAGAAAATTCTGAAGATGAAAATAATATCCTTTGAAAAAAGTAACGTAACCTTATTTATAAGTCTTTTAATGAAATAATGTATAATTGAATAATAAATATAGTAATTATGTATTATCATAATATATTTAAATGAATTAATTAAAAAAATCATTAAATAGTTATAATAAATGTAAATATTTAGGAAAGATATATATAATATAAATATAATTTTGAATATATAGATAAATCACATGTGATATTAAGAATATAAATTAGATATAATTAATTTTTAATTTTTGTTATGTTAATTATAAGTCTTTATATATATATATATATATATATATATATATATATATATATAAAGTTTAAGTTTTAAATGATCAATAAAAGATAAAAAAAATGAGTATATTAAGAAAATTTTGATTCTTTGAATTATTATGATTTTTTTTAAAAGATCATATAAATGTTAAGTTTGATTATGTTCATTACACTCATCGCATTAAGATTGGATTCTAGTACAATAGATAAAATTGAAGCATTATTATTAGGTTAAGAAAAATATTTCCATAGACATGACAAATTTTATCGAAATTGTACACGTAAATATAGTTTCTAATTCTTAACAAATTATCAATATTTATATTGGTAATTGTGCGGATAATATTTAAGTATTTATCAATTAATTAATTTCAAGTTGGAGAAGATTATCAGAATTACAGAATAGCGGATTTCAATAAATGCACACCATGTAAAAGTTCCATTAAAAATAGTATAAAGATTGATGCTAACTTAGGCATTATTTATTTATTACACGCACTTATTGATTTGATTGTCAGATTTTATTTTTCATGCATCCTTTTCGGTCTAACCGGGAAGAACACGGTTTAGGAGTGCATCCTTTTCATGCATTATTTTGTCAAATAGTATAAAGTTTTAGTGACAAAATCTAAAATATCATAGTCAATTTGTTAAAAACTTGATTTCTAGTAGAGTTAGTTCAAGGTCGCAATTTTTAAGTGAGTTATTAGTAAAATATCAAAATCAATTTTACCCAATCGGCTAACACTCTTTCCACTATTTTTGGTATCTAGATTAAGAGCATGCATCATATCATCATCAATGATGATAATAATATATCTATAAAATCTATCATATAGGGTTTGAATATGTGTAAATTGGTAATGGTATAAATTTAAAAATTCATTAATATGGGTCACTCAATACTCTTTGGCTTCCCGTTTAAATATTTTATTCTAAATCAATTACTTCATGTTTTACTATTATAAGTAATTGATTTAGTTTCTCCAAAAATTTACGTATTTTGAATTTTTTTATACTTATTATAATATCAAATATCAAGATATAAAAATATTATATGTATTAATAAGGTAGGGGATAGGTTTTGTCTTTTTGACTTTTTTTAACTATCTTCATGTTCTTATATTTATTCTTATTGGGTTTTTTCAAGTTTCCTAATCCTTCACTTATTTTTGTTTTTAAAAAAAATAATTATACTTATAATAAATTAATTTTAATTTTTAAATATTATTTTTATACATAAATAAAATTTTATAATTTTTAAATTATTATTATTAATTAAGTATATAGTTTATTTATTATATTTATATTAAATATATATATATATATATATATATATAAGTTAATTATTATTTTAGGCTATCATTTTAAAATATTAATAAATGTGAAATATATAGTTTATATAAAAAAGTATTTAATAAGTTAATTTTTAGTGAAAAGTAAAAGAAATTTAAATATTAATTTTTATCAATTCTTCAAAATATAAATATTTAATTAAAAAAATATTTAATATATAATAAATGGAATAATAAAATTCTGAAAATATAACATAATAAAATTTAAGAAAGTTAAATTATAAATAAAATAATATTAGACTACTAAAGTCGATATACAATATTAAAAAATTATATTGGTCGATAAAAAATTAATTGATTGAATAGATTAAAAAATATAAAGAACAAAAGATGAGAAAAAAATTGAATTGAAGTAAACGATATAGGAGATTAAAAAAAATAAAAAATGGGTAAAAAATTAAAAAGTGTAGTATAGAAAAGAAATGATAAAATATATAATATAAGAGAAAAAAGAATTTATAATTTATATTTAAATATAAAATAGCGATAAAGACGAGAATGAATTCATGATAGGACTCTAGATGTTATATTACTTATTTTTATTCTTACTCCTAACTTTTTAAAACATAGATCTTTAATATATGTTCTTACTCCTAACTTTTTAAAATATAACGAATATACTAATTATGATCCTTCACAAATAATTATCATATCTACGTTCAAAGTTAGGACATCCATCCATTAAAGTTATAAAACCTATTTATAAATTTGCCTTATGACATTCTTATAAACCTATTAAATTATATCAACTTCTTTTTATTAATTTTATAGTTTATAATTCACCTCTTATAACTTATTTTTATTAATAATTTAAGATACATCCCGACCCCTTAACCTAAATAACTATGTTATTTTTGTTGGTGTTTTTTTTAAACATAGTTATTTATGAAATTTAGGAAAGTTAAATGAAGAAAATGTTCTTTGTTTGATAAATTTTTATTATAAAATATTTAATTTTTTATAAAAATTTAAACAAAACTTTAAAAAAATTATTCAAACCAAATCACAAAATATTAATTTGATTTATTTTAAATTTTTATTAAATTAAATTAAAATCAAATATATCACATTTTACTTTTATTATTATTTAGTATGATTATTTAATAAACAAACAGAAGTGGATACTGACTGTCTAGTTAAATTTGTTAATTTGCAATATCACTATAAGCATCTTCAAACTACTTATTTCTTTGAACTATATTTTTCTTTTAAGTACTAAAAATATTTATAGGAATTCATTTAAAATCTACTACTTCTATATAATATAAGAAAACAATAACTACGTTACTGAAACTGAAATGTGTTCGTTGAAATGATATACCGATTGACATGCCTAAGCAGAGTTGATTTATTTCAAATATTATTATTAGTACTTAAAAAATGTAAACAAATCTGATAAATGATGCTTTCACATAATGAAGGTTTTTAAAACTTCAACTAATTTAAACTTGTTTAATATCAATAAGGCTTCTATAGTTTAATTTAACATCAATTGAAAAGTAAATGTTAAAGGAAATTGATTATATTAATTTTAACAAATAATTTGGTATCTTCAAAACTTACAAGATAAATTTGAATAAAAATATAATTTAATTAAAAAGTTTTTTTTTAATTTAATATATTTAAAAAGGTCTCATCCCCGCAGGTTTGGTTTAGGTAAAGAAATATGTTGGCCAGAAACCAAATACGTAACAGCTCAAACGAAATCGATATTAAGGATTACACTAATAGTCGCCTGCAACTATACCCTGCCCATATTTTACTCTTTCTAACCATTCAATTGCTAAAACATTTAGTTCCTAATATAAAAATAAAAATAACCCCAAATACCAAAGAATTCCATATATCATTTTAAAAGATGAAAACAAAAAATTGTATATCTTGTATTTCGGTTAAATACATTCTCATTTCAACTGTCAACTTCTATCTATGCACCTAGTATTGTCATACTATTGGTCAATTTTACATAAAAGCCAAAACTCAAAATCAAGATAAGCAAACCGATACTTAGAAAAGCCCCTTCCTATTCCTCAGAAACAATTCTAACACAACTAAACATTTTCAAACCAACAGAAATTTTCCTATTATGAATTGCCTACTCTACAAACATATGAAGCCTAATACCCCAAATACGAAGAAAGTGTCGTGCTCCTGACCCATCCATTTCAAATCTACAGAATTTTAAATTTGAAGAGCAATTCTGTTTTAAATTGCAATAATTGGATAGACGACGTGATTCATAAAGATACTTCGGAAAAGAAAACTTAGTCACTAACCATCATTCTAAAGACACTCTTACAAGAACCCATGTGAGGACGTTTGCATGACCAATACCTAGGTCTTCTTTAAAAGATTGACACATGAATGCAAGGAACACTTATCCCCCAACTTCAAACAATTATAAGATCATTTTACGTAGTCCTGAAATGAAGTATAAGATGAATTAGTGTTTTAAAATTTTACCTTTTTATTCTTTCTTCAGATGGGAAGAGGCTAGGATGGATACATAACATACAAGGCAAGGCATTAAGACAGTGATCATTCATGTGTCTTGAAGATAATTCTAGCCACACAATTATCCCCCAAGTGTAAGGAATAACTTCCACGTTGGCAGAGGCTACTTTTGCAACTTAAACCATTATCTCCGACAATATGCTCACAACGCTGCATTGCTTCCTGAGTTTGCCAAGCAGAAATAGCATTTAGCCTTGTGGTGCCTTCATGCATATTTTATCAATGTCATCTAAAGCACAACCACACATAAGCACAAAAGAAATATTGAAACAATTCAACCACAGCCAACGTTACACCTGACAGGGAAACCTACTAGACCTCAATCGGAATTCAAACTAGTTGATATTGATTTGATATATTCAAAATACGGTAATTTTTTGACAAACTAAAATATAGTTTGCTTCATATTCGATTAAAGTCCCTCGCTTCTTTCTTACCAAAGGTTCAACTATTTAGGAAGCAAAGAATCACATACAGTAAATGGTTCAAAAGATTCAGACTTGAACTGCTTCACCACTGCTTAAGGGTGGGGTTCTCCAGAATCATAGTCGTAGTATGAACCAACAAATACAAATCTCCGAGTTACTACAGCCATTGAAAATTAAGTATATAAGAACTTTAAATTTTATCAAGGAGAAGTGGAAATTAAATAACAAGTAACGAGAGATACAACTGCAAGAAAACAATTTACCACCAAAATATCAGGGAACTGAAGTCTTGCGCCATCAGACCATATCAAACATATCATTGATATAAAGGCATTCTATATCAAAGTAAGCAAACATTTCAGCGATAAAAAAATCAGAAATTTGAATAACAGTAGCTGCAAAACAAATTACCTGCTCCAGGTGTTCCAGAAGATTCATTCAGGTGATATACAGCTTAATTATGGTCAAGCTCAACAAACTTTTTAACATTATCACCACGGCTGTGCTTCCACGATAGACAACTGCTCATCAGAATCAAGAGTGTATTCCGCCATGCATGATGGTAGAAACAATTAAAGAAAATTAGCACCCAGATAAGCAATAAACAGATGGCTATCAGTTGCAACTCCTAGAAAGTGAGCAACAGCTCACATGGCTCCTCTCTTATGCTATAAAATTGATACATCTTCCAAAAGTATCACAGTAAAGATTTCAATAATCAGTATTCACCAAAAACAGAACTATATCAATTCATAGTCTGTGTAAATAGCTAGATTGCAAGAATAAAAGACAAAATGTTAAGCATATAATACTAGGAAATTTTTAAATTAAAGTTATCCTTTTGTCAACTAGTTTAATACCGTTTACATTAAATTATATGAACCTGTAAAAAAAAGTTAGAAGTCGGTCTACAGCAGCAACAGACACCTTTTCCTACTAGGGTGGGCAGGCTAAAGAGAAAAATAAAGCATTGTAACTGAATATAAAAGTAAAAACACAATTCACATATAAAAGAAATTAAATAAATATGAACAGAGCTAATAAAAATTCAAAGAGTTATATGCAGCTGCCACTGCCAGTGTTACCATCATTTTCGATCTTAAGTCAAGGACAAATTCAGACATCCAAGAGGCCAGAAGTAGCTTTAAGTCAAAAGAGGAAAAAAGAAAAGTGGTCTAAATACAAGGCTGCACAGCTAAAAATGTCCAGTTCCCACTGGCAAATCAAAGTTGCACATTGGCCAAAATACCATCAATAAACTAAAACCTAACCTCCACACGATGCCTTAAACATAGTAATTACTGTTCAAATCTCTACAATCGTTTTAGCAGAAGACTCATCACATTGGACAAGATCTGAAGTTGCTTATAAGCATTTTAATACAGTTGATGATATACAGTGCACATGTATGGTATCATATGATAAGTGATGGCGTCCATAGAGAAAGGTTTAGCATACATCAATGCTGAATGGCTTTGCTCAGCGAACTTGTCAGAAATGGATTTCCGAATTCCAAAGTGGCAGATCTAAGAACAGAAGTTTTGATGCAAAAAGTCAAAAGTCAGCCAAAATCTCAAACTGCACAGTTCATGAAACTGTTCTCCCATAGCATATTGATGCAATATAGAGATTTTTTGACCATTTTTCCTGCATAAACAATATATGCAAATATAAGCATTTTGAACCAGAAAAAAAAATGGATACAGTAAACTGAGGATCAGTAGTATTTTACCTTAACATGAGTACTAGGAAAGGCAGATGTGCGAAGTGTCTCTTGAGTTTCATCAGCCGGTTTTCTTCTTGGGACACTAAGAACAAAAGCAGCTTGGTCCCATGTAGCTGCAGTTGAAGTGATGCGGTAACCATTGTCCCACCTGCGATGAATGCCTTCACTAGGATACAGGAAATCAAGTTCCACAACCTGGAATTATTTTTAGGAAATGAAAATTTCATATCACACACTGTTTAACACAACTAAATTGAAAATGCTTAAAAAATAATTGTAAAACCTGGTCCGAATATCCAGCACCACGGGACATAACAATTGCCCATCTACTCCCAGCAGTGGCCATAGCAGTGACATAAAATCCTTCTCTCCACTTTTTATTGATCCACTTGAATGGAAATGACTCACTGACTTTATAGGATTGCTGCACATATTGGGTCCCTGGAAAGAGCAAACCACCCAGAGATGTGAGACAACAATCTAAACACAATACTACTCACTAATTTATGCAAACAGATCTTCAAAACAATCAAGTCAACTATTGCCACTAAAATACTCCGTGCCAGAAGAACAGAACCAAAACGACTAACCTTTAGACATTACAACCAATGAGCTCCCATTGTTAGATCCTGCTATGGCACTTATGTAATAACTATTTTCCCACTGTTCCATAATCCATTCCTATAAAAAAAAACACATTAACTCACCAATATGCATTAATTCAAATACAGGACACAACACAGTGTGCAGATATAAACACAAAAATATTAACATTAACCAAACAATGTCATCAATTGTTAGGAGTCTTAATCTAAAACATATCTCAACCTTGTGAAGAAAGTGGGGTGAGAGTTCATGAACTTGTGCAGTGAAACCAGTGCCAGCATCCATAATAAGTGCCCAAAGGTTAGAACAACAAGCTACACTGCTGATAAATAACCCATCCTCATGTCCCTTTTCAATGTGTTGGGACAGCCGCACATCAGCAACATTGTAATGGTACCTACACCAAAAAATAAAGGCCATAAACTCTGAGCATTTTTACATTGACTGCAATGACTTGTTTATTTTTATTCAGGAGAAAACCTTTGCTTCATTGGTCGGCGGGCATTGTACACACTAATCCATTGCATTGCTGGCATTCCCATTCTGACTTTCTTCTTTGGTTGTTCATCATCATCTTCTTCCACAGTCAATCGTCCTCTCTTATGTCCAACCAAATATATAAGCTTCAAAGCACAAATCAAATAAATATTCACAAGATTCAGTCTTCGTCTGTATAGTGTAACTGTATACATTAAAGCTTCAGAGTATTTAGTACCTTCTGTGCACCATCAGTGTTTATGGGCCTGAAGTCCGGATTTGGACCAACAATTCCATCAAAAAGTGATATATACTTAGCATAATTCGGCTCTTCGTCAAACTTCAAATTCACTACATACTCCACAAACTGCCGAAAAGGTGGAGGACAGACACAACACAAAGCTTCTGGTGAGGTCGCCATCTTTTTCTTGCAGACAAGGAATCCTTTATTTTCTCCCTGAAAATAACAATTTTATTAGAATAACGAATTTTGAATTATTATTAACACCAAAATGACTATAACTGAAGCAAATAGAACCTGGAATCCTTGCCAAGGTAACCGACCACGAAGAAGGAAAATTAACGTGTAAGCAAGAGATTCCAAATCATCCCTCCTGCTCCCTGTTCTACCAAGATGAGCATGCACACTAGCATAACGAACTGTTCCCCTGTGGCAAGAATATGTTATACTACATCACGGGGGAAGCCTGGATACTGCTAACAAAGTATTTAACAAATTAAACATGCAAAAATTTTACCTAAATACGTCTGGTCGTTGATCATACTCAACATGAAGGCCAGTCGAACTATCCCGCCATCGGGTTGCTGCATTATAAAAGAGGGAAGTGTGCATGGATGTTATGAAAAATTAGGCAAATATTCAATTAGTGATAGCATCACAACTTCAATAATAAGGTGAAATATTTACCTAATCCAAGATCAACCAGGAAAAGCTTTTTCTCGTCAGCAGTTCCCGGGGTGCCAAGCAAAAAATTCTCAGGTTTTACATCACCATGCACATATCTGAAAAATGGCAGCAACATGATGACATCATTCACAACAATGAGACAGATATTGATTAGAATATTTTATTAGGGCTAAGAGAATTATTAAACTAAAGCAGTATTTGACCTAATTATTAGTTAAATATGTGCTAGAGATTTGTATCTAAGACAAATCCATTACATCCCATATCATTCTAGTGTTATAAAAATTGTAATTGGAAGGCCCTTTTTCATATTTCATTCCTTTTCCAACAAAATTTTATTATTAATGTACATTAGTGCCATAAGTATCCTCACTTCACAAGTATAGGGGAGAATCATTGTTCCCCATGCATATGCAAAAAGGTTGTTTTCTGGTTCCAACTTGTGACCATCCAGTTACAAAAGGCAACTACACCTGGCTCCCACTCTTCCACCAAAATCCTATATTTTCAAAAATTATAATACTACCTTTAGTGTAGTACAATTCGTTCAAAAATATATACATATATATATATATACATATATATATATATATTGATGATACAATTTCATAAACACAATGAACACAAACAACAATAAAATCCAAATCTAATCTGGTAGTGGAATAGAAATCACAAGAGAAAAGAGAGAGAGAGAGAGAGAGGAAAATGACCCTCTAGAATGCATCTTCTCTAAAATGGAGATAGCCTCAATTGCTATACATGCCACCATTTCCGCAGACATCCTAAAGTCACAAAAGAGAAAACAAAGTTATCTACTCAATATTGACCATAATATTAGCAAATTCACCACAATATTAACAAATGACACATTCCCTTTCATGACATTTCAGTCTCCGAGATACTTACGTGTTTGAGTTGTTATTCCAGACATCCCACAGACTAGGGCCAAGCATATCCATAACCTGTATGCAACACAACACAATCCAACATCAATCTCCAAAAACATTCAATGAGAAACACAATGGACAAATTTCCGGCCCCTCTTGGGAAAGAATTTTCATTTTAGCACACATACCATAACATAGTAATCACCTTGCCGTCCCTTGTAATGAACACGTGGAACACCATGACTACCACCCAATGCACTATAAAGAAAAATAAACAAAAATAAATGTGAGTTACAATGTCATCAAACATTCGAAACAAGGTTTTAGAAAGATGTCCCTGGATGCAATTTCAGCCAGTGTCAAGGTTTTCTGGCAAAATGTTAAGTTGCAGTTTCACTGTGTTTCTTGAGAAGTTGCAAACAAATGCAGTTTGGTTTTTTAAATCCTTGCTTTTAAGTTACATACAAGTTTGCAGACATATCGTGAAACGGACCATTTTCCAAACCCTTGGTTTTTGGACAGATGTAACCGGTTTTTTGGGCGTGACCCCCATAAGCCACATTTATCCGCAATCTCACAAAGTATAAAGGATAGCGACAATACCGCAACAGTACATTAAAACATCGATTGAAACGTTTGAGCATGAAAAAATAACTCACTTGTAAACTTGCCACTCATATGGAGGTCCATAATTGCACCCCTTACTGCTTCTATGTTCAAACTTCAAAGCTACCTGCAAATATTCCACAAGCCACATTGTGAATCATGATAAAACCCAAAGAATATAAACCAAACACGGTCTTGCTACCACTAATGCGAATGTACCTCTAACGCTCCGGCACCAGCACCAACTCTCCTACCTACGTAAACCTGTCCAAACCCTCCCTTCCCAAGTTTTCTGTCTAATCTGTACAACGGAGAACCACCTACCTGTATCTGTTGCAAAAAAAAGTTTCAAAAAAATTGAATTACAAAATTCCATTTCCATCATGTAATAGCAACAAAAACTTCAAAAAAAAAACCATACCCTCTCGGGAATGGGAGCAGTGCTTCCTTCGTCTTCGGCGGGAGTAGCCTTGTCGGCGCTCCGGCCACCGCCGCTGTCGTACTCGTCATCCATCACTTTCTCTTTTTCCTTAACGGAAACCCTAAGCAGAGGCACGTGTTGTTGTTGTTGTTGTCGTTGTTCCTTCTCTTCTAATTCGCGGTTACCGATTCCACAACGTGCGAGCGTGTTGCGATTGTTCCTGCCGGAGTTGAGAGTGGTTCTTCGAGTTCTCCTCTGGCGGTTCTGGGTGTTCGGGTTCGGGTTTGGGTCATGGAACGTTGCCCGGTTTCTTCGGGTTCGAAGTTCAGGCATGGTGAGGGGGGTTGTGGTTTTGTGGGCTTTGTTGGCCCATGAAGAGGGAGAGCGCCGCCGCTGTGGGAAGAGTCATGAAGGTTCTAGAATCGTCGCCGGGAATACACGATCTGTTCGGGGCAAGGAAGGAGGAAGGCGGAAGGAAATGAAACGACAAAGGATATAGATCGAGTTACCATCCACCATGGAAAAAGAAAAAAGAAAATTATTCCAGCAAATTTTGAAAAAAAAATGGTAAATATTATATGTATTTTATTTTGTTGAACGGTATAATATAATAATGTATTATAATTATATAAAATAAAAAATAAGTAAAAGTATAAGAAATAAACGTGAACTTTGTCTGCGATTATCTATTAAATCAAATAAAAAAATCACATCAAAGAGAAAACAATGACAGTCAAATTTTATTGTAAAGATAGCATTCTTTTTGAAATTAATCAAATATATGTAACTAATTTTAAAATATAATTAAGATTTTTTTATGAGAAATAGAAGTATAAAACACAAGTCTTCTCGTAACATTCTCATAACTCATACCACATATGACACAAATATTCTCACATGAAAAAAATAGTAATTGCTCCAAATAAATAAAAAAATAGTATATAAAACTCAATCAACTCTGATATAAATGATTGCGAGAAAAGCTTTTGCACGAGACCAAAAGTTTGAGGAATCTTGCCTTTTATGCAAATATAACATGCACATTTTATATAAACTTTTTATCTATAAGTTGGAATTGCATGTTATTTTTGTAATAAGATATGATTTGGTAGACAATTATATCTGAGATTAAAACTTAACTATATGATTTTTATCTATCTATTTCCTCTTATATATATAAAATAAAGATTGAATTATCATATGCAATAATTTTATATCTTCTTAAAGTATTTTGTTCATGAAAAATTTATACTCTTATCTCGCTAGTTACATTGTTATATATTTTTACAAATTTCAAAATAAATAATATTTTGTATATGATATTTTTCCATCATTATAAAAATTTAAAAATGAAATCATTTTTAGATTATTTTTTAATATATAATAATACATTGTTAAAATCAGATTTGTGCAAATATAATTTAATTTAATCTTAAAAAAATAATTTAACTTGACTAGTGTTCTAAGATATAAATAAGTAACAAAGAATTGGTTTTCCTCGCCAATTTAAATAAAAAGTCTCAATTTTTAAATTATAATGTATTTTGAATACTTTGTTAGCGATAATATTTTTAAATTTTTTGTTTCTTGAATGATTTAATTGATTCATTACTTAAATATTTCTTCATGTGAACGTCATATTTGAATTTTCTTTTAATTTTAGTTAATAAATTGAACTTTAATCTTATTTACTAGTTATTAATGACGAGTAAAGTTTGTCTACCACGTTAATTTAGGACTTATCATTGATAAAATGTCGTTATATATAAAAGATACAATGATGAGTCTTTACCCGTTGTTGCATGTGACATACAAGGTGTATCATGGATTTTTTGTAAAGAATTATATATTTTAGTCTCTTTCTCATTGTTTTACGTATTCACATACACAATCTAGTACAATACATATTTATAGTACATACAAAATTATAAATATATATAGTACTACAAGTATGATTAGTAACTATCCTAAATGTACAAGAATTATCAATCAACTATCATAAGGTTCAACATAAAGTTATTAAACTAAGCTATATTAATGAATTAATCGTATTAATGAAGTAAGTTGTTCATGTGCATATAAGATAATGTATATCATTTGTAGGTGTCCTTAAAAAAACTGCAATATGGTAAATAAATTTTCATAAGTATCATTATAGTACATAATCATCTTTAAATAAATATTATTTGTCTTACATAATCCCAACTTCTATCTATTTCTGTTTGGATAATAGTTATCATCAATTACATTACATTACATAGTACTCACACTCATATCCTCCAAATTGTTTTTTATACTATTTCTCAAAATATAGAAATTAAATTAGTTTGTTAGTAACATAGATAAGCAAAAAAAATTTCACAGATTATACCTTTAGGTGCAATCACTTGAGTTTTTGTGGTCTTTCACTTGACCTATCGCTCATTATGTTATATTCAGAATAAATACTAGTAACATTTACACTTAGTTAAAACATATATAAAAATATAAATGTAATATAATATTTCTATAAAAACAACAAAATTTAGTTACTAATCTGTTATTTGTTTAAGGTGTAGCGGTGACTTCTTGTGTAATGAACAAAATTAAGCATTTATATTTTCAATTATAGATATGATAAGCAATTAACAATAATGACTATACATTGAAACATATTGAAATTAGTTAAAATTATAATTGATTAAAGATACACTATAAAGAGAATTTACTTACTCATAAATATATGGTGCAAAATAAATCTTTTTTCCCAATAAAAAAAAACTATTTATGATGTATGTTTGTGTCTCTAACTTCTTATTACTTATTGGTTGAATGAGTTAAGGATCTAAAAATCCATACACCTCATCTTTCCTCTTAATCATACATAACTACGATAGATACTTACAACAAATGACATAATAATTAATATTTTAATAACTAAAATAGTAATAACTTTAGTTTAAATAACTTACTACATAAATATGTTAAGCTCTAGATTTCTTAATGTAAGCTTTAACACGTTAGAAGATGTGGAAAGTCTTTTATTATCACATTCCCTTTAGAGACTGATACTCCAAACCACTAAATAACTAGAATTTTTTTATAATAACTTACAAATAAATTATATTTATATACAAATAAATATATATTTGTGTAAATATATAAATATAAAATATATAAATACAAATATATTTATATATTTTGATATATTTATATATTGGATGTAAGAGCGCGCTCGAGGGTGAAAGTGAGATTTACTCTCGCTTGAGCGAAAATACGTTAAAGCTCACGGAAATTCACTTGCTCAAGCGAAAATATCTCGTTTGAGCGAAAATTGGTATTTTTCGCTTGAGCGAATGACGCGTTTCCCAAATTTATTTTATATCATTATATAAGTAAATTATAAAGATTATATTCCGTCATTAAATTACAAACCCATATAAAGAGACTCGCTCACAAATTTGGCATCAAATTTTGAAAACCCACTCGACATACATTTTCACCTTTGAGCGTGTCCTTACATCCAACATATAAATATATATAAATATATAACTATATAAATATATCAAAATATATAAATATATTTGTATTTATATATTTTATATTTATATATTTACACGGATATATATTTATTTGTATATAAATATAATTTATTATTAAAAAATTCTAGTAGTTTAGTGGTTCGAGTATCAGCCTCTAATTGTAAGGTACTAAGTTCGAATCATGTCGGTGACAAAAAAGCTGTGTCCATGTTTCTTCATCAATTATTGTGTATTTGCTAGAAGGATTATAAAAGAAAGAAAGAAATAATTAACATATATTAAACTTTTTACCAATATATCTTGTCAAATAATGTTTTTCTTAGCCTGAGTAACATGATCCTAAGATGGGATTAAAATAGAAATCTTCTCTTGAGATAATACACCGAGATAACTACTTAAAGACTTAGCGTTGGACCCGGAGGCTACACCTATGTGAATATCAATAGTAAGAAGTGTCATTTGACCACTACCATGTTTAAGTGAGAGAGACCTCAATCAAGTAACTCCACTACTAGACTTCTTGGTCGTATGCTCCAACTCAAGAGGCGATCATTCATCATCAGACATTTTCCTATTAAAAAACAAAATAAATTGTTATATACAGTTTAATAATATTTATAAGTTTTCAAATAAAAACTAAACAAAATTAATAGATATTCATACATTTGTATACTCCTTCATCATGATCTTATATAGTCGCATGTACATTATTAATAACATCGTCCTGATCGATCTCAATAATCGTAGTTTATGTGAATGAATGAGAGTGACAAATATCAAGATTAAATTGTTCATTTTCTTGAGAAAAATCTTATTTTTTCCCATGAAGAACAATTGACCAATATTCAGAAGTAGGATCTTTGACATAAAATACTTGTGATGCTTGATGTGCCAAGATAAATGGTTCATCCTAATATCCTATCTTTCAAAAATCAACCAACGTTATTTCTAACTCATCAATCTTCACACTATTTTTATTGTCAACCCACTTACACTTGAAAACATACGATGAAAACTTAGTATAACTAAACTCCCAAATCCCCTCAACTACACCATAATACAATATTGATCCAATAACATGATTTTGATCGTTAGAAGTAGATAATTGCATGGACTCTGCTTCAAGAGTCACACCATTGTTTTAAACAATACTTAGATTATCCAGAGACTTTGTATAGAAGGAACAACTATTAATATCATATCTGGTACAACATATGATATCAAATTTAAGTTAAATTGTTAGCCATGTTAATTGTTTCAAATGTTGTCAGATCTTTCATGATTTTCTCTTAAAATCATACCATGAATATCTTGTTATGCTGCATTAACATCCACTTCTCTGATTGTCTTAGATTATTCTCTTTGATAATGGTTTTATGAGCAAATAAGTAAATAATTACCTCATATGTGTTATTTAATATATACAAATGTGTCTGAAGAACTTTGTAATGTGGTTTAGTTACTATATGAACTTCTCGTAAATATTTACTTATTAATCGTCTATTGTAACAAGAGTTTGATGGAAGTCCTATTAGATTTGCCTTTGATATATACTCCAAACAAAATTCAATAACTTCTTCTATAATGTATCTCTCGGTCATAAAGGCTTCTGGACGATAATAATATTTAACATACCCTTTTAGAATTTTCATATAAGGTTCAACTGGATACATCCATCTTAGATAAAATGGACCACACAATCTTATTTCTCTAAACATATGTACAAACAAATGTACCATGATATCAAAAAAGTATGGACGAAAAAACATCTTCAAATGACATACAATATCAACAATCTCCTTTTTTAATACA